GCTGCTCACAATTTTCCACTTTATTCGGTTACTTTGCTAGATTTCCGTAGAACAGTTTACTCAAATATCTTTATGGTGATTTAATTTCCGGGATGCCGATTGCTGGGTAAGAAGCCCCTCCCTGCTATTGCACCGATTCCAAAATATTCATTTCCAATGTTTGGGAGTAGTAGACGGTCATACATAAAAGGAAATCTTTTGTACTCTTTGCAGGCGAGTAGGCACATTTACAGGACACACCTTAATATCCCGTGTTCCTGGGTCAAGAGCGAACCTACGGCTAACAGGTACAAGTCAGCAGTTCAGATAACGGCAGATGATGTGTTCCTTAGTGTGGCTTGTTGGCTTCTCCATCTGAGACCAGTTGCACAGCTCTGCTTGGGTGGCCACATGAGCATCATGGAAGGACACTGCAGAACAGGCCAAGCAGGCGAGAGAAAATCCGGACAGACGTAAGCATATCTCTGTAGGAAGGCAAACCGTGAACACAGAGGTTGTCGCAGGACAGAAGATCCACAAGTGAAAATCCGAAAGCACGCAGACAAAGTGGGTAAATGAATGGGAAGAATATCAAGCTGCCAAGCAAGATTCAATAAGTTACGTCCTCAAGCTGTCCAAGACTATGCAGTTATCACATGATCCAGGGAGCATCGGCATCGCACGATCGCGGTTTATATCAAGGTCTATATCAGATCGGCTTCCTTCAGTCAGCTGAGGATTTTTATGGCCTCGAGGAGATGTGCACACAACACCGGGTTTTGTGTTGGTATTCGGGTACTTGAACAACCATCAGAGTGCGCCCTTTTGGCTTCCCATTCCATGGATTTTTTGTAATGAACTAGCGTGGACTGTCCGGAGTTTTCTGTTTTACTGTGCATTTTGCCCAACGAACAATCAGACCTGAGGTTCGGTAGGATGTGAGCTAGTGCCCTGGAAACGTGAATTCAAGGCGCCTTGGTTACTGTGGCAAGCGTTAGATCGCACCTGAGTCCCATCTAAATTGGACTTGGTTACAACCTTACTCATAGCAGTTTTCAGACTGGATCGGTTCGAATACGGAGTGAGTCATCCCCATGGTCCTGTCCGCAAACTGTGTCGCCTCACACCTGTTCGGTTTTGTTAAAAAAAACACAGGCCAACTCAGGTTCTCTGCGCTTCAAAACCTAGTAATCTACACCAGTACTGACCGTCCTTCAAGAAGCTGAAATCAGGCAAGACGCGGATGTTCTGGATCTTCCGTTACTTCTTCAGTGCTGGACAACTCGCCACAGGCGTTCCCTGAGTCCCTTTATGAGAGAATAAAATGAGCGCAATTTGGAATGATACATACAAATAGCAGTGTGAACAACATCTAAACACAATGAATTCCACTTGAAGTGTGGTTTATGCGTGAAGCTTCTGCTGTGATGTGTGTCATGAATTTTTTTTTCTTGAAACACGATATACAGTAGGCCAAGTGGTCACTACAGAAAATATTCCGCCAACCTTTTTTTGTTTTCTTCACTTGGTCACGCATGTTTCATGGGCGAAGTCTTCACTCAGTTCCAGAGCATGACAGCCGGTAAAATTTAATCTGAGTAAGAGAGTTTCTACAGCGTCCGCATTTCGTTTTGATTACAGTTCGGATGAACTGGGTTCGATGAGCAATAAGTTCACTCGGTACCGGACCTGGAAGCGTCATGTAGACGTCGGAGCAGATGATGCGGAAAGTATATTCAGCATTCGAACTGAAAACCCAAACGGGCTAGCAGGAAAGTTACTTGCCACAAGGATCCGTTGATTATGTACGTTAAAGAAGATGCATCGTTTATTTGTGCACAACTCTCAGCATTGTGAGGACAACCTCAGCTAGTGCAAGCCATGTTTTATTGGAAGTAATGGTTTCAAGCCGTGTGTGATGAACATGACTGATACTCTATTCGCTGCTCTATTCATTATTCTCTTGTTTTAATATTCCATATGCTGTACATATTCGCCAATTCGAAGACACACGTGCTGGTTGTTACGCTTCGCTGAATTCTGGATTTCTAGTTCGTCTGGTTATACCGATATACGTACGAAACCTAATTCTCACACCGTGTTTTATTTAAGGAGTGCACAATGCCTCCGTGGTGCAAATTCCACTTTTCGAAATCTATTAATATTTCAGCAAATAGTCCATCTTGTTTGTTTTATCTGATTCAAACACGTTCGGTGTTCGTCAACGATGAACGCAAACGCAGTCTTCGGCATTTTGGGGAGAATTTGTATCTGGTCTTCAAATGTCATCCCCAGAGTTTTTATCACTTTCCTTCATTCAAAGTCACGGAATGTCATAACTACGAGTAGGCATGTCACCATGACAGCAGCGTTTTTATTTTGAATTTTTCATTAACCTATCAGGATGCTATCTGGTTCAACGGTGACCCCCGCTAATTTGTTGGCAAAGTCATACGAATTCTTAATGTAAGTACTAGAATTCCCGATAAGGGTTTTTAAAAAACCGGCCAAGTATCTGGCCAGTTCGTGAGGTAGGGAACCTATTCCGTCTAGTATCGGTCTCACCAGGACACCTGGTTTATGCATTTTTGAAAGGCCATAAAGTCGTGATTGGATTACACTTTTCGGGTACAATCGATACCAGTTACCTTGCCCTACGTAGGTTATCACGGACCGCAAATATTTGCCAACTTCGGCTTTAATCCTATTCATTTTAGACGTAATATTCGCATTATCGAGCATCCGGTAAGGATCCTCAGCTATGTGTTGCTTGACCAGAAGCTGCGTTGGTTGGGATATGTTTTACGCATGCCGAACCATCGTTTGCCGAAGAGAGTACCGTTTTCCATGCCCAATTCGGAGTGGCGTAAACAGAGAGGTGGCCAACCCATGACCTGGCAGAGGAGTATGAAGGAGATCACGAAACGCGTGGGTGCTGTCGGTGCTACTCACCTACCAGGATGGGGACCACGTGATCCTCACTGAGCCTGGTTGGAGACACTACAAGATATGGCTGCCAACCGATGTCAGTGGTGTTCTTGTTG